TCGTTCTGACCCCGCCAGGAACGCACCAATCTCGTACATTTTGGTGTATGAACGCTCAGCAACTCGGTCGGCGTCCAGCCGTGACAACGGGAACGTCCTCGCGCTTCCCGTTTTTTTTGCAATTTCAACTTAAGATGTGCGCTGCGATTGAAAATCCCACCAGTTGTGAGGTGCGGTCAGTGAAACGGTTTTTGTTGGCAAAAACTTCAAACCAATATACCTTTATCGCCAAATGTGTGAAGTTTACAGAAACAACAAAATGAATAAAATTTCTGTGCGAAAATAATGCATTCAGTTTAAAAATGGTCGAACTGACGCTCATGAGCCATGACAAAGCGACAAGCGGATGCCCGAGCATTGTGATTGATGAAACTAGTCTCCAAAGTAGATGAAAATGTTTGCGAAAACCGACGATTCACGATAACGGAGTTTTTGCTTTGTTTCCCTCAAGATCACAGACTTTTTTGTTTGAAATATCCACACAAAACAGTTTACTATCTCATATAAACATAGAACATCTCAAATTCTCTACTCACATGAGACAGCTGAAGCACAGTGTGAATGTACATCTCATCTTTCTCCACCTTCTTCCTGAACCTCATAGTCTGCTCTATGTCCAAGGGGTTGATGTCCTTAGGCCAGCCACCCTCCGCGTGGTTCATGCTGTGATGGTCATACTCCGCTCTGATAGTGTTCAACTGACAACATTGTCTGGTCAAATGTTGAACAATAACCTTCTCTACATGTCAATTTTAATTATTTGTTCAGGATTAAATAGTCAGTGGATAGTGGTACACAGCAATAGTGTAGTAAGTTTCCTGGTGAAAATATCACCTTTCCATAAGGTATTTTTGAAAATAACATTACTCCCCTATGTTATCCCCAAATGGTTCATCTTTGCGGAATTGAATAGGCCTATGCAATACTTCATGATTTTAAACAAGATGTACGGATATTTTTAGTTTGGTAGAATGCATACTGCAATCATCTTTAAGTTAAAGAGCTGAAATATAATTAACTAAATAAATAATTAACGTAAGAATAATACCATCCATTTCCTTATAGGACATACACATGGTAGTACTATATTTACTTCAATCAGGTTAATTTTAAAGCTTTGTTTATGTATCTTACCACAGTGTTATTTTTAACATCAGTAATCTTATCTCATTCATCAGAGAACCATATAACTTCTAGGGAGCTATGTGAATAAAATAGTGTTGAGGTTATAAAGAAAACTGTTTCTAAAATAAGAATGTGAAACTTGAGTAGTTAAAAATATTATCAGGATAAGAGAGGGTCATAAGTTTGAATAATGGTAAGTCCCTACTCAACATTAACAAATGAAGTTTACTCAATAATAAATTATAAATTTAAAAATGAATCTCTCCTATCAGAAGTTTTTAAACCGACAAAAAATGTCACAAGTGCATGGTCCTATGAAAGACTTGAGTTTTTGGGTGATAGTGTTTTGAATCTAGTTGTTTCAATCATTCTCTTTGAGCTTTACCCTTTTGAAAAAGAAGGTCATTTGACATTACGCAAAAATGATCTAGTAAGTGGACAAAGGTTGTCGGAAGTGTGCAGATCCTTGAATCTCATGAAACTCCTTCCAGAAACATCAGTAAAGTCATTGTGGCGGGAAAGTGACACTTTGGAAGCCCTTGTAGGGGCGATATTTCTTGACGGGGGCTTTACAAATGCAAAAAAGTTTATTTATTGTCATTGGAAAAAACTTGCTAGGCAAATACATTTTGCTCCAGTGGATGCTAAAACTCGCCTTTACATTTGGACTCAAAAGCGGCAATTGCCTCCACCGAATTATGAAGTGAAAGATGAGTTTCAAGAAAAGGAATTGTTTGCAATAACACTCAAGTTGACGGGCACTCATGGTTATGGGACTGTTAAAGTGTCAAACAAATTAAAAAAGCGAGGGGAAATGCTTGCTGCTGAAATTATGTTCCATAGAATTGAAAATAGGGAAAAGTGGAAGAACCTGTTAAAATCTACTGGGGACTATATTACTGAGGAGGACTTGATAAATAGCCGTAAAGATTTCAAAACAAGGCTTAATCTTTGGTGCAAAGCCCACAAAGTTCGTCTACCTTGTTTTGGCACTATTGAAAAAAAGGTTGATGGAAAAATTAAATACAGGTCTTCAGTTATCTTCAACAATGGAAGAATAATTTATGGAACTAGTTCCAACAAAACTGCAGCTGAAAAGAAAGCGATGTTGAAAGCACTTCTTGAACTTTGTGATGATGAACGGGACTCGGCGGCATTCAAGAACAAAACCAACTCCATGCAAATCGATTTGTGTGAGCCAAAAAACTTCAAATCAATTCTTGCCGAATGGGTGACGAAAAATAGGTTTGGACCAATAAAGTACAATGAGGTTAAACTTGATGGAAAACTTTTTAACATTTCACTTACAATTTTGGAGAGTGATTTTGGAACAGTGAGTGTAATCTGTAACTGTAAAAGATACGGGCGGCAACAAGCAGCAGGAACTATGATTGAAAAAATAATAAACATGAACGGTTTAAATAAAACTGAAAGAGACATTGATACATTTTCAAATTATAAGGATGAACTATACAAGTGGACTCGAAGCAAAAATCTTCCCAGTCCAGAATACAAAGTAGTAAACATAACTGGTGTTGGACATAATTTGCTGTTCACAGTGTCAGTAAGTGTTGTGGGGCAAAACAAAACATTATCTACTGGATACACTAAGCAGTCTGCCCAACAGAGAGGTGCTATGTTAATGCTGGATAAAATAAAATAATTTATTACATTATGTGGATCTTTGGTAAAACCTGGTTCAGAAACAAATCATTTAATAACGGTTGATTGTTCTAGGTAGGTATTTTAATTTCTATGTTTGTAAAGTGCTGTACTGATTGAGTACTAGCTTGCCCAAACTATCAATAATTTATTTAGTGATTTCGCTCCTTATAAGTATCCCAGGTAGTGCTGAGCTAGCAAATCAAGAAAATAATTTTGAGTGATTTATGCGCTCATTTTTTGTATCATCTCTGCTGTCTGTTAAAAATAGTTAAATGTAGGCTAGCGTTATTGTTGGATGGTATGTTTTCATCAACCTACCATTGCTGAAAACATAGGTACCAGGTCATTGGCTAACAAAGGAAGATATTGGGAAGACTATTAGGTACTGTTAAAGAACCTAGCATGAAAATGTTTTTTATATAGGTTATTGTTTCATATTGGAAATGAGTAACACAACAAACGGTTTACAAATCTTAAAATATTAGTACAACTGTAATTAACTATTACTGACTTTAGTTAAACTGTAGATTTTTTCACTATGATGAAAGGAACTATAAGAAAACTTAACTAGACTAACGTTTAAAATAAATTATATTTTTTAAACAGTTTCTCAACTTAATGACAGAGATCATCCTCAACTAACCTCATGTTCGGCAAATAGTTTGCTGCATTGGACTCCACGGTGTACAGGGTCACGCAGAATGTACTCATCCATGAGTGATCGGTTGGGTAGCAGGTTATCAATATTATTTGGACCATGATCACTAAAGAAACACTGCCTCCCAAACTCACTTCTCTTCTTGGTGTAGACATACTGGTTTTCCATAATGCCTTCTGTTTTTCCTGTAAATAAATTACAAAACTTTTGATAATTTAAACAAAATACTTTTTGTACACACTATTTTTTGTAACAAAATTAGTTACAGTAGCAGGAAAGGTTGATGTAAAATAAACCACAATCTTATGGTTTACTTGAACATATATAGGCCTATACCTATGTGAATTAAAATAAGATCTAATCTAAGGCCTTGATATCTGAAGGCGTTAAGAGTTATGGCATCAACTCATGACCTTGAACACTGTAAACCTCTTTTTAAAAAATTTAGAATCTTCACAGTATACAACCAGTATATTTTCAACTCTCTAAACTACATCAAGCAGAATATCAATCTTTTTAATGACAGAACAACCATACATCAACATCGAACTCGTAAAGCTCAAAATCTGGAAGTCCAAAGATGCAGGCTGAGCAAAACTCAAAAATCCTTTCCAATTGCAGCCATAAAACTATTCAACAGCCTCCCAGCTGACGTGAAAAGCCTCACAACCTCAAAATTCAAGAACCACATCAAACATGAACTACTAGAATGGCCAGTATACACCCTGAATGATGTAGAAGGAATCCCACTATTCACGGGAAAGAAATAGCCGAAAGGCATATGACGCAGTCAATCCCACAAGCTGGGTCAAAGACGAAGACATCAAGTATCAAGTAAGTATCAAGTAAGTATTACACTGGCCTATTTTGTTACCTATTACGCAGCTTAATTATTTCTATGGTGTTCCTTTTAAAGGTATCAGAAATAATCTTGATTAAGTTTTCAATCAATTAAAATGGTTTGCTGACACAGGATTAAAAATATATAAACAAATGAAAGAAGTATTGTTTGTAATAAATGTCTATTATTTGACTTAAAACAAAATTAGACGGTTAGTTATTTTTAACCAAACATAGTATTCTCGTCTAAAAATACTAAGTAGTTGATAAGTCTCATCAACTTACCTCTAAAAACCCTAAACCATAAAAATTTGTTGTTTTGAAAAAAGATTATTTGTATTGGTTAACATTCTTTAGAAGTTTGAAAATGCTGCCATAGAAACCAATGCCTTCTTGACTGTACCTATGCCTGTAGAAATGTCTTCAAACCCATGATTTTTAAGATGTGAATATAATACTATGGGTGATCTTAAAAGTTTTTTAAGTTGGAAATCTATTCTAATGAGGTTGTTTGTTGTTTCTTTCCTTAAATTTTAGTTCATTTTTCCTGAGTTTAAAAACTGAGCAAGGTAACTTTGCCCATCAGCTGATGAGATGCAGATTGACCAATCTCCATTCCACTGCCAATGAGATAATCTGCAAACACTGTGCAGTGCAGACAGAGCAGATATTCTGTCGCTCTCGTCTGTCATCAGCCGTGTTTACTAAATTGTTTTCTTTCTGCTTCTGAGTTCTGACTGGCATAAGTCGGCTGCTGCTAAGTTAGTTGTATTGTTTCCCAAATTGTAATTCTATTTCTATTCTATTCTAGGCCTAGGTGTGGCGTGCAAGACCTTCCTCAATCTTGTATTTCCTCTTTGTTAATAATAATTTTGGAACGGAATAATTTTCACTCAGTTGGAGTTGACTCAAGTGCGAGCGTAGGTGGTTCTTTGCTGTCCTGTATTCGTCAGATGAAGTAGTAAACATGTCAGTATAAAGGCTACTAACTTGTTCAACCTTATGCTATGCATTAGCCTATTAAACTAACTGGGGCCTACATAATAGTTCGCAATTTTGAAGACCAATCTCGCTTTCCAACCACAAAATGTAAGTGACATTTTAAGTTTTGAGTCTTTATTTAATAAACCAAAGGTAGGCCTAGCAAAAATATAACCTCAAAAGTGCACCTTAGAATTTAGTTTTATGTCATAACTACCCTGACTGTAATTAATGTCCCCTCCCTGATGTACCCAATTGAAAATGTGGATATTCATATTAATTAAATTTTAAGTAGGACTAGGCCTATAACTTACAACAGATTTTTTAGTCCTAGGACGCTAGGCACGAGCCTGGGATTGTTTTTCACATTACTTCAGGCTAGACCTAGGGGTTGCGGCATTATCACTTAGATAAAATCCATTGGTGACTTGGCGGGGATCGAACCCAGGACCTCAGGGACTGAAGTCCACTACGCCAGCTCGCTACCCCGCCTAAAACAGATTAGATTTATATTAAGTTACATTGACACCCTAGTGGGAACAATTATCAATTAAACTTAGTGCTGAATAAGCAAGATGACAGATGGCAGCAAGCTCTGTTTTGTTACTGCCCAAGATAATTTGGTTTTTTGACCAGTGGTATTATATTTAAATTCCATTAATCAACTGTGTCACGAGCTATCTACGCTCTTCTGACTTCTCAGGATTTAACTTATCCGGCAAACTTCTTGTTACTAGGTTAGGGTTATTATCCGTATCTCTCATTCCTTTAACTATTCGGTTGTACCAAATACCAACTATGCTGTTAAAGCGATTGTACTTAAGTAAGTTAGGCCTAACTAAATTAATTTAAGATTCCTAAAGTTCAGTTTACCCCGGAGTTAGGAACACATGATTACAACAAATTACAACGAAGAAACACTAGCCTACTTTTAAAGGTAGAATTTTGATGTTAGAATCAGTTTTTTAGTGTTTACAACAGAAATTTTGTTACCCACCAGAAGTCGGTAAAGATCAAAGGGTGTTCCAAACATTATTATAAACATTATAAGTACTTAAACAAATGCTGATCGAACACAATGTTTCTGTATGGTACTTCTATACTGTTTACAATACTGGTACTTCCCTGCCACCCCCGCGCCTACCAACCACCACGTGACTACGTGCCACGCCCTCAGTGTCAGTCCTTTTGCTCCCATGCTGTCATTAGCTTTGACTCAGTGCACTGTCTGCTACTGTAATTCAAAATTAACTTAGCACTAGACATTCTCAAAAAGTTTTGAAACTCCTGTCCGTCCGCAGTTCTCCCAATAGGAGGTCGATAATCATCTAAGTTAACTGGTCATTGGCACTGTATTTTGATCTAGCTTGCAGTGACGGAGACCAATCATTGTCTACTTAAGCCTAACCCCACCTAAATTTTCAAAAGCCTAAAGTCTTTGAAAGCATGTTTGGTCACTTTTGATAAAGAAATAGGCCAAGTCTATAGTGATCCTGAGTCCTGATTGATTTTGAAAAAAAAAACACTTAATTATTTTAATAGTAGCCCATGGATAAAGTTCTATTCCGTTTCCAGGTTGGTCACTCAGTTGTTGGTATTGCTCTGCATTTCACTGTCGTCGGGTACAGATTATTATGAACTTCTCGGAATCACAAAAGATGCTGACAACAAAGAGATTAGGAAAGCTTTTAAAAAGCTGGCAGTCACACTGCATCCAGATAAAAACTTGGTAAGTAGCTCTTAATGTAGGCTAGGCCTATCTAGTTATTGGTGTATAATGGTATATGGTAGGCATATATGGAAGATTGATAGATATATGGTAGTGTGTAATTATGGTTGTAATGAATGTTAAGTGTTTGTTTTAACGTAAACTAAATTAAAATTTTTTAACAGAATAGGAGGTATAAAGTGATAGGCCTATCCATCAATGGACGAGACAGCTGGGTCATACTGTACTAAAAAAATGTAAGATACAGTACTCCAAGTAATACATTTCACTAATAAATAAGAAGATCGATAAGATTAATTAATATTTGATATCATATAAATTTGTGTTGCCCTAAGATGCTAGGCTCTAATCCGGAATTGTTTTTCATATTAATTAAGTCTAGACCTAGGGGTTCGGCGTTATCACTTAGATAAAATCCATTGGTGATTTAGCAGGATTTGAACGCAGTACCTCAGGAATCGAAGTACCGCTAGACTACTAGGACAGCTCACTCCTCAATATAAAATAGTTACTTACTATAAAATTTATTTACTTATTTGCATTCCAACGGTGTAACACCAATATACAATTGAAAGCAAACTTAGATGGCTAACAAGAAAAATTGAAAATACCACACAATGCTAATACAAGACGATGACTAATATGGACTGTGCAGGAATATTGAAATGAAAACATGCAGTAACAACTTTGCTGCAGTGACAGTACATGCATAACACGATGACAAGATATGTAGACAGTTTCATAAAATGATTTGAAAGAAGATGGGTGCAAGCTAATAATAAATGCAAAAATGACAATGTTAACAAAACAATAATTATGACAGGACTGTATATTCTAGTGCGACAGCAATGTATGTAATAAGGCAACAGACTGAGTGTTCTTAAAAATAAGAAGAGAACAATAAAAAGTTATCTTTGGTGGAAATCTTAGTAGTAATTTGTGGACTAACAAGTTCAATGGTCTTGTCGCTGCCCTTTTTCACATAGCCTACTATTTTGACTTATTACTATAAACCTGCTGCATGTATTATAATTAAAATTAATTATAAGCCTATACCGTGACTTAAAATATGTAAAATTATAACATCTCATTTCTATAACTTTTTCTTAATCTTTTTTACTAGGCCTAGAACTTTCTAAGTAACAAGTCCTGCTACAGGCTTGGTAAATATTCATCAGTTTGTACTGTTATGGAAATAAACCTTTGGAATCTCTGGAGAGATGTTGAACTGTTTCTAGTTTGTTGTTGCATGACGTTCACTTAGGCATGTATTATGTCTGAAGTACGTGCTCTATCTTCTGTAGCTGCTGAGCTTTAAAGCACTCGAAGAAGTATTAGAGATTATCTTAATACCTACCGGTACTATCTTTCATAGTGATTATAAATGAATATTCTGATGTTTTAAATTACATCTTTTACTAACTCAGTTTTTATTTATTAATTTAAATGGAAACTTTTATTTACAGCCTTATATGGATTAGAAAAAACCCTTTTGTTTTATTTAGCCTGGGCCTTAGCTAATAACCAAAGAGAATTTAAAATGATTTAGATTTTGTAACTAAATTAGGTAACTTGTTAGTTTAGTTGATTATTTATTCATGTATTTGATATGCATGTTATCAACTCAATTTGTATATGGTTATCTCTTATTTATTGTTGTTATAGTTGCATATTCTAAGTTGTTATTATTTGAATTTAATGTTATTTGGCCAATCTACTGAGGTAGGTAGGCCTAGCCTATATGTAAAAAGAATCTTCTGTTAGTATGTGAATAAATTAGTAGGAAAAGTTAGATAAACTAGAAGGAACAATTTCACAGTGTGACTCAGCTGTCATTTATTTATTTATTTTGACAGCAATCGCCATTTTACAAAATAATACATGAGATAAGATATACAAGCAAAAAGATACAAAAGAAAACATGATATGGATGCGTAAGAAATTATGGTGGTGGTGGTGGTGAACAATGTGGGTGAAATTACAACAGTTACAACATTGTGAAAAATTAACAACAATTAATAACAACTACCTGTGTAAATAATTAACAATAATAACAATCAGTAAAGTATCAAAAAGACAACGTTGTGAATTTAAATTGAGTTTTGTGTTGCCGTTGTGTACAACTGTAGTGGGGCGAGAACACAAAAAATTCATTGTAGTTCAACCTTACCGAGAAATAAACTGCAGAAGCATAGATTTTAAAGCAACATCATTGAATAAATTGGATCTTTCCAAAAATAGAGGTTATACCCTCAACTTTTGCAATTGGGGTATGAAACTATCTGAACCAAAATAACGTGGAAAACTGGTTCAATGTTCTCATGCAGATCAGCCGTACATAATAAACAATTATTTAAAGGAAAGTTTACCTTAAATATTCAGTAACGGTATTTGTCACAGGATGACCCAGACGCCAACGAGAAGTTCGCCAAGGTAACAAGAGCATATGAAGTACTGAAAGACCCTAGTCAGCGGAAGCAATACGACCTTCACGGGGAAGAAACCCCCTCTTCATGGAGTCAGAGTCAGTACCACAGTTACTCTTACTACAGAGATCACTTTGGCATCTACGACGACGACCCGCAGATAGTTACGCTGAACATGGCCGATTTTGGTGAGTATTTTTGTAGGCCTAGTCTGTTTGTTTCGGGTGATAGTAAATGTAATATCAAGTCACAGGTAGGGCTATTAGTTTAATTTTTTTTTTATTTAGTGTGAATAACAATTGGTTGTCAGAGCCTTGTAACAATTGTTGATAAATTATAACAATTGTTGGCAACAAGTTCATTTTAAAAATCTCCTATTTTACGATTATGTTATTAACGTTTTACTATTATCTTTGATATCTCAAACCTCAAACCTGGGGTGCTAGCTGGTCTAGTGGTAGAGCTCAGTACTTCGGAGCCCGAGATCCCGGTTTAAAATCTGCCAATTTTAAATAACCAATTGAGTTTATGTATGTGATACTGATAATGACATGATCCTCTAGGACTAGCTTAAAGTAATGTGTAAATCGGTTCTGGGTTAGAACCTAGCGTCCTGATGTCTCAAACCTCAATAAGAAGAATTCTTTTATGACCGATCTGTCACCAGTAATTCAGTCTACAGTATTTCAAATCGTAATTGAGATGTTACTGTAAATATTGTTGTTGTAATTTAGTGAATGTTTAATTTAGTAACAAGATTTAAATATAATTAAACACTTAAGTATCTATTAAACACAAAAACAAAGCACTGATTTGAAATACTGTAGTAGGTTATGTTCGAAAGATAAGTACAGTAATTGCAGCCCTGGTGCAAAAGAGTATATTTTTGACCAATCAATTAACTTTTGTGGACGGTATGTTTATTTATTTTACTATAACTAACTTGTTGAAAAAGCTAAAAACTTAAAACACAATTCTGTGCAGCTAACTAACATGTTTCTAAAACAGTAATTCCAGTGTTCCACTTAAACTTTAACACGTTCACTGATTATAAAATCGAATCGTATTGCTGTTACTCAACCTCGATTTTGAAAAAAAAAGAAAAATATTCATATGCAGTCAACAAACCTGTACAAAAGAAAAATTAAAAAAATAATTTTCAATCAGACTCCCTGGTGACCAAGTCCGGAGTCCAGTGGTTTGTCAACTACTACTCTCCACTGTGCTCTCACTGTCATGACCTCGCTCCCGAGTGGCGTAAACTTGCCTTGGATCTCGAGGGTGTCGTCATGTTCGGGGCCGTCAACTGTGAGGAAGACTGGGCCTTATGTCGGCAACAGAACATACGCTCTTATCCTTCACTCATCATGTATCCTTCGGTGAGTAGATAGTTCTTTGAATTGTATCATTGTCCAAGGACATGGATACCATGGATAACATGGAATAGTTTTTTGGTTGGTGTAGGCCTAATATACGAATATCAATTGTTTCAATTTTGGTTTAGTTACTATTTGCACATCGTGCCAAGTAACGATAAAACATCGTACAATTTTCAATAAAGGCATTTAGTTTCAAAATATCACCTGATAGGCTACCCTCTCTAGTTCACCTACATTATATGTCAGTCTCCTTCCCACAGTCAACCTCCACAGTCTAACCCAAAAAACCTGTGTGTGTCTGAGTTATATCATTGACTATAACAGAAATTATTTCTGTGTATAGTCAATGGTTATACCGGGTGTCCAAAACCACCTGTACACCCCTTTAAAAACGAGGGAAATCTATTCTTACAAACAACAACTAATACAGAACTAGATAAATTGGGCACGGTCTACCAAATGGTGATATTTTCAAATCCAAAATCACACCGGAAGTGGCTTTTTCAGACCGGTAGTTGACTTTTTTAAACGTAAACTACCAATTTTGATTACAGAATCGGATTCTACGTTAAAAAATACACAACTTTTGTCTGAAACATTTTTTGAAAAAACTTGTTTTCTACCTCTAATCTCCCTTTAAAGTCAATAATTTTGGGTCATTCATCTGTCAAAGTTATTCGAAACAATAATAGAGAAAAAAAATAACAAAGATTACATAAAGACATATGATGAATAAAATCAGCTGTTTATTGTAAACACCTTAGTAATTGAATAACAGCTGGTCTACACATTGCTTGATTAAATTTTTTTTTTATCTAGTCCGGCAGCCAAATGAAGATTTTGTCCCTAACCTGGTTTTGTTCTATTAAGTTTTTTTTATTGTTGTTTTGAGTTATTTGGGGTATGTAGACCATAAAACCACCGGTTACTTTTTTGGTACCCTTGGGCAATAGCCGCCATCTTGGAAAATGGCGGAAAACGTAATTTACAGTGTAAGCTTTTACTTAAAACTATGTTATGAAAATACCATGCTACCTACAGCAGTGCAAACACTTTTAAAATACTCACAGTGAAATTCTATGCAGGAAAATATCATATTTTAACTATATATTGTGTGTTTTAAAGCCAGTATTTCTTTTCAAAGTTAATCATTTAGATAAAAAATATGTTCTATCCCTACTTTTTTCATCTTTGTGCTAAAATCTCTGAAAAAAAGCCATGATACATGTAACAAAAGTTGTAGATCTTAAAATTGTGCATCCAATGCTTCTATAGGGATCTTTGTTGGATCAATGATAACGTCACAACAATGTGTAAAAAATAACTTTTATTTATTTTTTTCTATGGCAAATTAGGGGTTTCTAATAAATGAACATAATTTATATAATCCTTCCTAAGAATATTCTGTAGTTCTTTTCTACTGTTTTTGGTATCAAAATGCTCAATAAACCAACGGCTTTCATTTACGCTAATTAAAATTCAAATCATAGGATGTAGCTAGTTATGGGCCCCCCAAAAAGAGTAATTTTAATTATAAAAAAGTCTCATCGAAGCCCTATATCTTTAGTGATTGTTATGTTATGTTTTATGTATTTATATGAACACAGTCGGTAACGTACTAGCTTTCATGGAAAATATTAATTATTGGGTTTCAAAAAATTTTAGGTATAGACCATCAATCAATAAATCAATAATTTTTCTTGTAATTTGTTGATTTGTAAATTGGGAATAGTCCGGCAACCAAACAGGGAATTTTCCTTGAACCCTGTTTTGTTATATTATGTTTTTTTACCGATGATATTTTATTTTGGTAGTATATAGATGCAGAAAATAGCGGGTACTTACAAAGTACCTTCAGACAACTTCTAGAATTTGAGATAATAATTGTCCATATTAATAAATAAATCGATTAATTTAAAACATGGTAATTAGGCTATGAGCTATGCGTTTTTAGTTCGAATATCACGAAATTTAGTATGAAACCTCGTTATAATGTTACTCATAAATTTACCAGAAATTAGCCACATCAAAGCTGTTTCAAACTGGCGGCGGAAAACGTGGTTTTTATCTTTAAGAATTGAATTTTTTGCCCAATAAAAAAAATGTGTTATACGACCTTGTTTTAGTGTTGCCTATAGCGAACATAATATAAGTTTTGCCAATTTAAACCTGAGCTTCTATAAGTTACTAGCAAGACACATTCTTAACATAATTATTATGGCATGTAATAATAATACTCGATTATGAAGTTAACTGAATTCCCGTAGCACTTGTGGCTATGCTTGTTAGTATTTGCGTTACATTGAAAAAAGACAACAAGTTATCAAAATTAATAAAATCGATTTCAACATAGTTGAGTTTTATTATTTTGTATTGTAACATAAATATTTTATTCATGTAAAATTGTAACTTACATAATAGGCCTACATGTAGGAATAACTTGTAAACAACGTTTCAGTAACCTTAGTGACTATTAGCGATTTCTCTATAGGGAAGTAGCTATTACCGTAGGCCTCATGGTAAGACCTAAGCCCGGGACCGATTTACATCATTTTGATGTCCCCAGAGGCCAAAAACACTCTTTCGCTCATATATATATATATATGTATGTAGAAAATTTAAAAATAGTTCATTTAAAATCCCATGTTATTCTTATAGAGAATATTGTAAAATGTTTTAGTTGGCTTGTTTTTGGATACATTTTTAATCAATCTTGGCAGATTTTTTATTCTATACTAAGCTATAAAAATAATAATAAAAAATAATAAAAATAAAGAAATATTTTAATAAAAAATACACTTTATTAGTTTCCCTTTAGCAGCAAACCTAGGTACTCGTTAAACATAAATGTGAATTTAATAGATTAATTGAAAATCAATCCAGGCAAATGGAAATTTGCTCATTCGTCAGGTTTGCTGCAGCTCGGGTATTAACTCATTATTCTACACTGTCATAGTCTTCACTGACGTCTTGAGTTTGTATTTTTCAATTTAAACAGGTATTATATCCACAATGACAAAATACTGTGCAAGGTAAGCCTGAATTAACGCAACTACATATTTTTCAATTCTGTTCACTGGTGCATATCAAACGCAAAAAAAAAAACTTGATAGGAATAAACCAGGTTAGGTTCATATCTGAGTTTACCCATAGCTTACCGAGGTTTTCTTCACCGAAATGAATAACACAGCTCATTTAGATCTTGAGATATAGATCTATAATAAAAGACAGTCCTTAAAAATTGAAAACCTCATGTTAGTTAGAGGTCTACAACTCACCTTAAGCTCTACATATTTAAATGAAAATTGTCTCAAATGAAAGTTCTAAGTTGACCTAGTGTTTTTAGATCAGAACGAATAACATAGTACACATAGCAGCTGAGAAATATGTCTTTAAATACAGAAGAAAGTTAAGAAACAACAACTTTTATTCTACGTTTAAGCTTATAACTCGCCCCAAACACGTCAGATTGCAATAAATAATAGCTGAAAAGAGAACCGCATTAACTCACTGAGTATTCCCATACCACAACATACAATATCACGTAAAAATAACATGAGACACAATCATTAACTAAAGATAAATTGTAAAAAGAAAATCAAATTTTTATTGTTTGGGGTCCACAACTCATGTTCAACTCAGCCAATTTGAATAGTCAATGGCTTGGATTAAAGCCAGTAACTCACTGAGTATTCATAGTATATAAAATTTCATATAACGTAATTATAACCTGAGATAATATCTTTAATTAAAGACAAATCTTGGAAAAACTAAAATGTTATTTGGTTAAAGTTCTATAAATCCCATCAAACCCGATTGATTTGAATGACCAATGTCTCAAATGAAAGCCAGTAGTTTGCTGAGTATTTTATTATAAAAAAAACATAACATCGATAATCAGTACTCGAGGTAACAATCTTTTTTTCAAAGAAAATTATACAACCATTAAAATCTTTGTTGGTCGAAGTCTTGTAATTCACCTCCGACTCGTTCGTTTTCAGTGATCTACATGTCAAATGGATGCCAATTGTTTACTGAGTGTTTTTATTGCAATACATACAACATCTAATAATAATAACTCAATGGGTTGGTCAAAATTCAAACTTTTCTTTTTGAAAAAAAATATTGTTTCTTTGGAGTGAAGATGAATAGATAGGCCTTAAAGTCCTTAAATATAAACAGTTAATAGTTCAAATTAAATTTGGTAATTTTACAAACATTTTAATACCAAAAACAGCCTGAGAGAAGTGGCGGATGGTCTCAGGAAAGATGTTACAATTTTATTGAACATATAAAATATCCTTATTTTACATTGAAAATCAATAAAAAAATTATTTTCTAACGCTTTGTTCTGGCGTTACCCTTGATCCAACAAATATCCAATAGATGTATTCGATGCCAAATTTAAAGCTCTACAAACTTTATAACGTATATTATAGTCATATTTTTAGTAATTAAGGCTCAAAATTGAAATAAAAATAAATATGACATTATTTTTTTATAAATTATAAACTTTGAAAAGTAGTACTGACCTTAAAACAAATTATATATATTTATTATATGGTATTTCTGAGTAGGGAATTTAAGCATAAACATTTTAAAATAACATGCATTGTTCCATCTTAAATAGTTTTTTAATTACATTGGATTAAGTAAAAGCTTACACTGAAATTTACGTTTCCCGCCATTTTCCAAGATGGCGGCTGTTGCCCAAGGGTACCAAAAAAGTACCCGGTGGTTTTAGGGTCTACTTACCCTAGATATCACATATCAACAATAAAAAAAACTTAATAGGACAAAACCAGGTTCGGGTCAATTCTGCCGGACTAATCATTTGTTTTTACATTTGACCACTTTAATGTAAAAACAAATGATTTATTTTTAAAATAAAATGAAATTAAGCAATGTGTAGACCAGCTGTTACTCAATTACTATAGTGTTTATAATGAACAGCTGATTCTATTTATCACATGTCTTTATGTAATCTTAGTTATTTCTTTTTCTCTTTTATTGTTTCAAGTAACTTTGGCAGATGAATGACCCAAAATTATTGACTATAATAGGGGATTAGAGGTAGAAAACGTAGAATAGAAATGTTTTTTTTTTTCAAAAAATGTTTAAGACAAGAGTTATGTATTTTTCAACGTAGAATCCGATTATGTAATCAAAATTGGTAGTTTACATTTAAAAAAGTCTACTTCCGGTCTGAAAAAGCCACTTCCGGTGTGATTTTGGATTTGAAATTAACACCATTTGGTAGACCGTGCCCAATCTAGCTAGTTCTGTATTATTTTTTGTTTGTAAGAAAAGGTTTCCATCGTTTTTAAAGGGGTGTACGGGTGGTTTTGGACACCCGGTATAAATGTTGTAATGGAAGGGGTCGAATATTGTAAAGAGGAAGTGTTTGGCAATGTTGTGTGAGTAGGCTGGTAGTGTTGTTAAACAATAACTTGTTGTGCTGACCTACTGAAGGCTGTTGCTTTAAGTAGGCCAGTGCACTTGATCAAGGGGTCAGTTTTGGTGGGTAGTGTTTGTGTGGTGTACCAGAGGACGGGGTCCTGCTGGGGGAGCTGGAGCCCAAGGCCCTTGGCCTTGGGTCCAGGTAAGACAATGTAAAGGGTTTTCAAAATTGGGGTTTAGAGTCTTTTCAAAATTGGGGTTTCAGTTTCTAACTAAATGATTACAGTTCCAGTCTACTCTACCTTTTTTGATTGTTAGTTTAGCTTTGTGTTCTTTGTGTTGTTTTGAGTAATTAATAAAGTTAGGTTTTGTAAGCGAGTGCTGAGTTTCATTCCTGAGCTACGTCACCCAAAGTAACAGTACGTATTCCAAGAGGCAATAACTTGCTGTTAATTGGTGTTAGTGTTAATTGGTTTTATAATGATAAGGTTTGGTTTAGTGTTAGGTGTTAATTGGTGTGTTAGTTGGTTGCAACTATTTTATTATTCCGTCCACTTACCCAAGTCTGACTAATGTTACCTAATGTTTACCTTATAAAACACGACAAACTAAACAAGGATGGTCACATTTGTACTGTGCAATGCAACTGTTTGATTGTGCCGTGTAATGTAAATTTCTAACAATGAATGTGAATGTCTGACGACAAAGTAAACATAATACCGTCATTACACAATAGTGATGTTCTAGGCAATTCCATAAAGGTAGGTATAATTGGCATGATCAAAATGAGCAGGTCCTGTTGTTTTTAGGTAGGATTCTATTGCCAAGATTGCTATTTGAAATACTTAGCATATGGATGCTTTGTACTGCACTGTGAATGTGAAATGGAACAAGGGATATAATTTAAAGACGGCTCTGACCTTGGCACTGTTTCTGTTGTAGAACGAGCGCTACGCAGGCTCCCGCTACAAGGAACCACTGACAAGGTTTGTTCTGGACCGGGCCAAGACAGAGGTACATGAGATCAAGTCGGCAGACAACTGGGCAACTTTGACAGGAGAGCCAGGGCGTCACAGCTGGGTGTTACTGTTGTGTAATGGACAGTCATTGCCTGACTGTCTAGCAGATGACGAGCGGACCAGGCTGGCAGCGGCTCTGGTAGGTGATGATCGATTGAGTTTTTCATTGTGGTATTTAATTATAGTAGTTCACGCAACGATTGCGTTAAGTTAGTCTTTACGACACGAGTAGAAAATTTAAGGCACGAGCCTTACGAGTGTTGTAAAGACTATTAACGCGAGTTGCGTACACTAATTTACCTACGACCGTTTTTTAACTAAGTACAGACAATCTGGTTTTTGATTACTAACAATCTTTACTCATAACTTCTTAGAGAGGTTATGTTTTCGTTGATTGTCATGCCACTGAAAGTGATGTAACGACTTATTGTATAATTAGCTGTTTTTATGTAATTACGTGTTTGTAAAATTTCATTAAATAATACGTTACTATTTTTCAGGCAATAGCTTCTGCTAGCAGCATTCTTACCATAAATACTGTATCAGGTACAATTAGAGAAATATTGCATATTTCTTTTGGACAACTGAAAAATATAGTGATACAGTTAGTTTACAGTTAGATCTCAGCATCGAATATGTGGTCCACAACGAGTTGGGTGAAGCAATGGTTAAGAGGTTTTCAAAATAAATCAGAAGCACATTTTCATTTATCAATCTAACCTTATTTTGTTTCGTCCATTTGCTGCCTTGCTGGTATGTAATTTCATACCTTTGTTTTGATTTTGGTGGCATAAGATTAGCACAAACAGTTTGTGGTCTCATTTCTATCTCATTAACTTCACTTTCACTAAAACTGAAATTTTTAAATCAGTTTAATCTACTTTCCTTTAACCACCAACCTAGGTTAAAATTACGCGAGTATCAACAGGAACAAGACGGATCAACAATTAAAATTGTCAACTGATCAGCTGAACAGCTGATTAGTTGACGTTTGAAGCATTACAATTTTACTTCTTTTCTCTCAATCCTTGAATCTCATTGGTCCGTTACCCGTGTTGTTATGAGAAAAACTATGCTGTTATGAAATAAAACTATGCTGTTATGAAATTAAACAGCTGTTAAGTGAAACTTTTCAATTCTAGGAACTGAACTGAAATGGCTACTTTAAAAAAACGGTCGTAGGTAAAGGTATACCACTATCATTATTTATTGAGTTTTGGTGAAATTTACATTGTTAGCCTCTGTAACCATTGCACAAATTGTATTTTTAAGAATCCATTAAGATTTAGAAAATGTGTATAAATAAGGCTGATCAAGACTTAAATTTAGTAAGATGTTATGGTTTTAAAAAAACTGACATTAGTAAATATATTTGCTTCATACGTGGGACATTCTTTTTTTTACTTGTTACGTTTTGTGTTGATGTTATACAACATTGATATCAACCTACTGACACCTGATATAAAATTCTTTTTTTAGTTTTCTATTAACGTTTTAAAATTGAAAAAATTACATGTATGCAAAATTTTTAGTTCAAAACACTTTTTGTCTAAGAAATATTTAGCAATGAGTACATTATACTGTAGAGTCCCATTATTGTGTACTAACTGGGACCGAATCTTGTTCGAACAAGCAGGAATTTTGAATAAGCGGATCTCTGGACTTGTTAATCACGATCGTCTAGTCAATGATGTTCACGGTTTTGTCACAATTACTGGAGACGATGGTGGCGTCTCTGCGACTGCAAAAGATGTTCAAACTTTTATCTTGACTGTAAATTATGATTTAAATTTTGTCGGGCTGAGCTTTTTTTTCTCAATCATAGAAAGCCTCTGCAAATATATGTGCGAGCAAACATTTCGTCATAACACAATGATAATGTCTCTGGCGTCTCTGCAACCGCGGAAGATATTCACGATTTCACGGTGAATGCAGAAAATATGCTCTATTTCGTGTAGCTTTGTACTAACGTCTTGGGTTTTTAGAATAACGGGATTCGGAATATCTGGACTCTACTTTAGTGTAAGAAAGGGCCCCAACTTTGCCTGGTACAATAAATAATTTTTAATTTAATTTCATTTACTTTATTTTGAAAATACTTCCTGATAGATTTGTCATTCTTGTGGGTGGATCAGCTGTAGACAATTATGAGGTATGTTTTTGTCCAGTAAAGGATGAGTGTGTTTGATGTTAATTTTTTGTTTTTTTATCAACCGTACAACTTGTATAACTTTATGAAATGATAGTTTGTAAAATACTGGTTATAATATCCTCTCATAACCGAAGGGTAAGTCGACATCAGTGGCCATCAGTGTAACCAGGAAGAAACTATCAAAAAAACAAGACTTAAGATTTTACAACTGGATAAGAAGTAATTGTATTATCCAAAGTCAAAGTTACATTTTGTCATTACAATGATGCTTATCTGTTGTAGAATGGGGTGGTGGGTGTTGCAACAGTAGAATGTCTACTAGTGCCAATCTGCCCTCAGCTGGTTCAGGGAGAGTACACCAGTACTGTCTTCTGGAGAAAGTAAGTTATCTCTCATAGTGATGTAAAATGGACGAGAACGATTTCCTGTTGAACGATTTCTTGATTTCACATTTCCCAGATATCATCTGTTCTATTTTTGTGTGTTTCCTCATTAAATAGTTAATACAAATTATCTTACTTAGATCAATGTTGTTAAAGCCATTTTAAAGTCCTTTAGTTTCAATGCATGTAAAACTTGACTTTCTATAAAGTTGTAATTTTTTGTAAAGTGGACCCTGAAATACCCTCATCAGATTGAGATTAGAGCTATTGGGGATTTGCACGATTTTAACCCAGACCTGTAAGCCAATCTTGCACTCTATTCACTAGATCAGCCTTGTCCTTAAAGTTTTAAGTTTTAATAAAAAATATACATTTTAATGCCATTTAGACCTACCAAATATTGATTTAATAATCATTTAAGAGTTGATGTTATTTATACTGAGTAAAGTGTCAGCTACCTATGTTTATCGTTACATTTCCAGGTCGCCAGACGGAGACAGTTTTGCCACCAGAATAGTGATGAGTGACAATCCTAGAGATATGGTGAAGGAAGTTTTTACTTATCTGCCGGACCTTCAACAACTTGACCCTGAAAAGTTCCATGTATGTTCAAAACCTCTTGTTTTGAATTTTTGTTGCTAGTTTAAGTCAAAGTTAGGGACTATGAACAGGGCAATCCTTTCAAGTTCTATTTCCAACAGTTTATTAATTTTTTGTATATTATTTTAAAATTGAATTTTTGTCAGGTTGAGTGTGGCTACTTTTTAGATTAGTTCTGTTAAATTTGCAAAAGATTTTAAGGATTTTTGTGAGGATTGCAGGCTTACCGGATGGCAAAGTGTCCACTCTGGCACACAAATCACAATCTATGCACTATACACAAAAAATTAAGATACTTCCCTGTAACTGGCAAAAGCCAACAATAATTCCACAAAATCCTTAAAATCTTATCCCTTGTGAAAAGTTATACCCTTAACCTTTGTGAAAAGTCTGTTAAAAGTTAAAATTCATTTTGGAAATTGTTTTTGTAATACTACTTACTTACAAAAGCAATACTATTAGCTAGTGCTACTAGTAACTTAGCAAAGAATTTTCCTGTGTAGGCTATTTTTATGTACGGTACTGTATTTATCCATACTGTGTTAAAAGACTGCCCAAAATAGAATGTAAGTAGACCTTATTCAGTATAATAATAAATGTTGATTCTTTGTTGTGTTTTAGGATATCATCACTCAGTTAGAGCTTGGGTCCCGGACCTCATGGTTGGTTGATTTCTCTGTTGGAGCGGACAATGAACTTGACTTAGAAATCAGAAAACTTCCATCAATGTTAAGCGACATGCGCGTTGGTCAGTAGTAAATCATGTTTAGATACTTTAGCATTTTAAAATAGCAAACAATGCTTGTTTGGTATGTAAATAAATATGTTTGTTTCTTAATGTGTGTTTGGAGGCATTTAAGATTCAGTGGTTCAACACAATTCATCCTGCAACAAAGATTGTTTGAAACAAGTGATTTTTATGAACATGGGAACTACCTAACACTTATTTTAAGGGTTCAATTGATCTTGGTGATTTAAATTTTATGATTAGTATCCAAAGAAATTTTTGGCAAAGTTTTTTATACAACAGTTTAGTTTAATCATGCAAGCAAATCTTACTCATCTATAATGTAATTTTTCCAAGCAATGAATAATTCTATGATTTTCTTCATTAATGTCAGCAATTCAGCTATAAAAGAAGCTCAAAGCTCAAACCAAAAGTTTTCAGTTAAATTAAATACAACTGAGTAGCAAAAACCCTTTAAGATGAATATGCTGAGGTATTAATTTTTGGTTTTAATTTTAATTTATAACCAAAGGTAAAAAAGGAGACTTCCTTACAGTGGTTATAAACATTGTAGACAAAAAAAGCTAAAAATAATTTTCTCTTATATCTTGTGAGTTCAGAGGAATTATACTTTGTTTTGTCACAGGACGTGTAAATTGTGCTCGACACCGTCAGCTGTGTGAGGACTATTCCATCTCCCGCTACCCATCCTTTGCCGTGTTCAAGCCTGGAGGAGGTTACGAGTTCTTTCACGGAACACCGTCCGCCATCAGTGTGTCACAGTTTGCCAGGGAGAGTGCCAGTGCTACCAACCTACGCACACTCTCACAGCAACTCTTCCCTCAGCTGGTCACGCAGGCTCAAGGTTGGCAACACTGGTTGTTCTTTGTGATGGATAGTTATTAGTTCACGATCCTATAACCTCAGATATTAACAAATGCAAGATGTAATAAAGATCAATATTGCTTATTTTTGCAAGAATCTAGAAAGAATATTTAACTAAATATGATAATTATACCTTATGAGTTATGAGTGTAATGTGGTTACTGGTTACTAAGATTTTTGTTTGAAATTTAAATGTAACACCACATTATTAAATAATGCTTTACACACAGACCTGGAATCCTTGTAGACAGATAAAGTCATGTTAAAGATTATGGTATTTTAAATTGTATCAACTAGTGATAGGTTGGTTGCTGATATCATTAGTTTGGTGCAGGTTCAATTTTTTATGATCAGCTTTAGATGTTTCCCCTTAAATTACTTGCTTATTTAAAATGAATTTTTCTTCTTACTTAAGCAGTGGCAATACACATGTTTAAAATTTTGTAACTTGTGCTTTATGTGAAGGCCATTATAATTTTAGCAAGATTAGGTAGGTGTATTAAACGATAAATCCCTCATGTATTATGTTTCATTGTGTCTCTTGCCGCAGACAGGTTACATGACTTTCATCTCTTGCACGACTAACAGATTTTTGTTTGTAGTTTATTTTTAATTTTACAAAATTTGGTTCATTATTCTTTAAAAGTTGTCTTTCCAAGTTTGAGTTATTCCCGGTCTATGAAATATATACCACATGTCACATTCCTACATCAATGTATATCTGTCACAGATGGCGACAGTGCGTGGTTCATAGACTTCTACGCACCGTGGTGTCCTCCGTGTCTGCGTCTGTTGCCTGAGCTGCGTAAGGCGAGTCAACACTTCTCTCCTGTAGTGAGGTTCGGCACAGTGGACTGTACGATACATGCGGCCCTGTGTCGTCAACACAACGTACAGTCATATCCTACAACAATGCTGTTCAACCAGTCCCGACCTTCGCAGACTTTCCGAGGCGAACATTCTGCCAGCAGCATAATAGACTTCATACAGGATGTCATCAACCCTAGAGGTAACATTTCAGTTGTGTAGTATTTTTGACTGTGGACAGTGTGGATAGAAGTTGACATTTCCATGATAAAGTTTTAGCAAAACATTAAAATAGTTAAACAAAAGCACTGATGTAAATAGATTTCTGTAGATTTTCTGCCTTACTGGTTTCTGTCGACTTTTAAATCTAGCTAAATTGAAAGGACTACTTTTTGTAGAGTATAGCATGTTTTATGCAACATGAACAGTGACAAGAATCAACAGGGAAAACCAGAATTTGCTGCCAGGAAAAGTGTGTAGGCCTAAACTTTTTTCCAGGAGTTCTGTAGCCATCCTGCAATTTATAAATTGTTTGAATTGTTGTTTTCTCCTATCATGTAAGTTTATGTTGCAGTTATAAAACTGACAGAGGAGACCTTCTACACATCTGTTGGCCGCAAAACTCCAGACTCTGTATGGCTTGTGGACTTCTTCATGCCTTGGTGTGGGCCTTGTCAGCAGCTGGGACCTCAGTGGAGAAAACTGGCAAAGGTAGGCCTACTCACATAACATGTTACTGATGCCTCCAGCTGGTAAAGTTATCTGTTAAATGAGGTCAGGTTATTATAGTCTGTTCACAAAATGTAGGCGGTTTAAGGGGAAGTTCCCCTACCAATTTTTTTTTTAAATGTGTGTTGCAGCTGATTGACATATTGAAAACCTCAGCTGTTGAGCTATTGCTTTAGAGGTAAGATCAAGGAGGGGATGAATTTCTTCCCCTAAAATCGTTTAAATTTTGTGAATTGAAAATAGTAGTCATATTTTTAAACCACACCAATATTTAAATCCCTCAATTACTCTCAATGTGTTAGTTGGAAGATTAGGTAATCCAAAAGTGATATCAGGAGATAAAAGATATTATAAATATTTTTTTTTGTCCTAAGACGATAGGCACGAGCCCGGGATTGTTTTTCACATTACTTCAGGCTAGACCTAGAGGTTGGGGCATTATCACTTAGACAAAATCCATTGATGATTTGGCGGGATTTGAACCCGGGACCTCATGGCCCGAAGTCCCGCGCTCTAACCACTAGACTAGTTCGCTCCCCATTTTTTATCAGTATGAGATGGATCTAAGGGTTCAACCAAAAGAATTATTTACTTACACCACACCTAATTCCAACTATACCCAAGAATATATTTTAACCTCTCCAACTAAACATCTCCACTTCTGCTGATCTAGTACGCCTTCTTCATTGGGTCTTTAAATCTTTTAAAGTTATTTTATAACCCGAACATTTTCTTTCTAATGTTTCTTTGGTTTGTCCTCAGATGGTGTCAGACATGGCGAATGTGTTTGTCGGAGAAGTGAACTGTGAAGAAGAGACAGACTTGTGTCGACAACAAGGGGTCCACAGCTACCCCACCATCAGACTGTACCCCACGGGCAGTACAGGGTTCAACACTGTAGCGTAAGTTAACCTCCATGATATGTGTGGAGTTTTAAATGTCTGACTTCTGTAGTAGAAGCCTTGCAACAATATTAGTAAAAAAAAAAAAAAAAAAAAAAAATAGAAATAATTGCAATAATGTGTTCAGTAATACATAAAAGAATAACAAGTGAACTTTTCTTCTGGCTATAATAATACTGATGATCATGAATCTGATTGCTTTGTCACCAATTTACAGCCAGAGAGAGATTTCACAAGATTTTGTTATCTTTTACAAGAAATGGGTTCGAATAGGCTCTATAGAATTGATTTTATATCGGCATACAACAAATGCACCTGTAGGATTATCTCTTTGACGCTGCAAATAGTTCATAACAATGAAGAATTATGTTTGTCTAAGCTATAATACATAGCCTTTCTAAGATTACCTATTTTCAGTAATCACTAATCACTCATTGTGTTTGATACTAAGTGTGGTAGTGGGATGCACTCAGCACAAGAATCATTCTCTTATATAACTTACTCTCTATCCTTAGTTATTTTGTTCAGTCATTTCAACATTTGATTGTCGTTGGATTAATTTAATACCACTTGCGTCTAGTGTGACTCTAAGTGTTGTTGGAAGCCTTTCCCTCATCCCTGTCACACGCAATCCTGATTGAAATTATCCATACCAACACAATATCTCTAATCCTTCGTGTCTATGCAGGATGTACAGTGGTTATCACAGAGATGCCAAGTCCATCCGCCAGTGGTTGTTCAACTTCCTACCCTCGGCCGTGGTAGAGTTGACAGCTGAGAGTTTCGAGGAGGTTGTGGAAGGCTCGGACCCGTGGTTGGTGGACTTCTACGCTCCGTGGTGCGGCCACTGTCACTCCTTCGCTCCGGAGTTTACCACTGTCGCTAAGGTGGGGAAATCAGCTTATAGGGACACTGTTATATGTTTAGAAATATAGGAGTACAGCTTAGTAACAATGAGTTAACATTAGTAACAATTAAACATTTATCATAAAGAAAAAGTAACAAAATGCCTGATTGGAGACAAAAAATTTCTCCTATTATAACTGCCGCTTGATCTGTATACCGGCCATGTTATGTGGCCTCTCCCACCAAACTCTGCCACATATAAGCAGGTGAGTTGATTAAGACGGGAGTTAAATCTTCATACAGTGCTTACATAAAGCTGGTGGCAATAGTGGTGAACCCTAGAGTAGCGGTTAGAGTGCAGCACATGTCAAGCACAGTTTTCAACCTTTTCAGTTAAGTTATGCTTGCGTGACTAGTTATAAAAGTGGGTCTCGTTTTATGTTTCTTATAACACTTAATATTTGGGTCTTTTAGGCATAACAGTTGCACCTATTTTCAGAAACTGGAGGGCCGAGTGAAGTGCGGGAAGGTGAACTGTGACAGCCACTACCAGGTGTGTCAACGCGCTGGAGTGTCTGCGTACCCAACTGTGCAGTTCTACCAACCGCAGTCTCACAGTGCGCGAGGTGTGGAGATCACTACACAACAGGCTGACAAGATCATCAGCTTCGTCGAGGAGAGACTGAGGCCGTCACAAACACATGATGAATTGTAACTGTGATACTAGCTGTAGATGAATGTGTCAGTGTGTAGGTAATGGTCACATCACACATAGGCTAAGAGTGAATGAGGTTAGATTAGTGATCCTACAAATTTGGTCTTATACTCAATTTATTATTTTATTGAAGATGAACATACTTTTATGTGAGCTTACGCGTTGCTTATAAAGCATACCAAGTTCATGCTATAAATATTATACTAATTTGTTAGAAGATTGATACAAAAGACAGTTGACAGGCCCTCGTTAAAAATTAGGCATCAACTTTATTTCTATTCATATTTTGCTCTAGTTTAAAATTCCTTATTGCTTATTTATATGCTTGAAGAGCAAAATATTTTTTAAAGTTCTTTGCCTTTACAAATTTTTAGCCTTAGTAGCTTAGGTTTTACAATTTAAAGTCAAAATACACTTGCTACTTTTTACTGTTTTGTGCTTAATAACATGCAACATTTTTCTAACGTCTAGTCAATTCTATATGATTTTGATATTATGAATTTATATTTTCTGGAAAGTGTAAACATTTTTATTGCTGAAACTCTTGCATTAGGGTATAGCTTGTTTTAATTCTGTTTTAAGGGGGGGGGGGGGTTGTTTTATTTCATAATATGAAAACTATAGGGTGCTACTACTAATTATCTTTAAGATAGAAAAATGATCCTAACATAACCTAGTTAAGAGTGTAGACGATAACGTCATAAAAATGAAGAAATTAATTTTATATATTACATGTTTAAAATTTGTGTAAAAATGTAGTTAAGTATTATTGCCGCACAAAATTATTGACTTGATTACAAATATTTAGTTTTATAAATTTTTCCTGATGTTTGAATTAATGGCAAAAATACAGTACACATTAAGTTAATTTAATTTTCCTAACACTTCTATCTTTATTTAAATATTTAAATCAAGTTTAGCCAGCCTCCTTAAAACCTTCACCTTGCCACTGAGCCTCCGGGGCAGTTCTGTGTGAGGAACATATCAAGCAGTGCATGGGGTCAACTGGTACTGAACTGATCAATTCTAAGCGACTGCACCAAAGCACAAACCCACAATTTTGTGCATTGGTTGGTGGCTCTTCGTTACACCAACTGAGCCACTGACTCACCCACAACAAGAGGTTAGTATTATCCTTAGAAAAAAGTGGCATTCTTCCTGCCTAAAGATAAATTTAGTTACATTTTATTGGATTCAAATAAATATTTGAGTTTTAGGTACGGATTGCTTTGTTGATTTGTGCAAATTATATGGATAATGTTGCCTTCTACAGGGAACAATCTCTATATTAAAGATCTTAATTAAGAACCATTTACTTAAGGTATAGGAATCATTATTATTACCATGCTATCCTTAAAAAAATGTAGCTTTTTGTGTTGCTTCTCTTGAATGATTTTACTGATATTTATTGTGATATTACAGTGTAAGAAAGTATAAACAACTTTTTAACCCTCCAACTGGCAATGAATTTTCAAAAGCATGACTGCAAAATCGCCAAAAATGCCTTGCCATGACAGAGTTTAGTTTGCCCATTGCCAGTTGAACGGTTAACAATGTATGATTCCTATAGATACTTATGTTGTATCCTAAGTGTGTTATTTTATCTTTATATATTTTCATGTCTTCTAGAGCTTTTACTTTGTTAAGTTACTTTTACAACTCATTTTGTTTTTCACAAAAGGTACAATACCTTAAATTAATTATACATTTTAGTATTTTAAAGCTAATCAGTCATGTACGCTGAGTTTTTTTCAGGCCTTCCCAAAACTTGTTTCAATGATTCAGCATATCTTTATGTGGAGGCTTTGATGTGATTAAAATATAGTTTACAATATATTTAGCTAAGGTGAACTCTTACACCTGTCTTGAAAGTAAACTGTAAAGGAGATAATATTTACAAAATAACTTTATCTCTGAATGCAAAGACCACTAATTTTTTGGAGGTAGTTGATTTGGAGTTGGTACTTAAACTTAACATCTCATGACACTACAAATTTATTTAACAAAAAGAATAATGTTCGGTGACAACTCATACAAAAACAAGTATTCAAATTTGTGTACTATGTAATATTTAATTTGTTCACCAGTATCTTCAAGATTTTAAAACACTAATGTTGTATTATAGTTCCTTGATTGATAATAATGTAAATAAAAATGTTAAAACCGCCCACACTACCTTACCTCAATCCCTGATGATTTTATTTTATTTCTATTATTATTAATTAAAAATCTTGAAATGACACAATTTATAGCACCTATCTACTTTTTCCATTAAGTAGTTTTAATGTAACTAAGCTGCTAATAAAATTAGTTAGCCCACATTGCTTTTGATTGATTAATGATTTTGGAAAAAAATGTTCCAAATTCTATCCTTTTACTTATGATCTGTTAGCATTAAACCAATGCAATCACACAACAGCTCTTACACAATTTTTTAGTGAAATATCAAGGTAAAAACATATCGTCTTTTAGTAAAAAAATTTTTATTAACGTAGTACCTAAATAAATAGCTACTTTATACACAAATTTACACTTTGGTCTCTGATTTACACATAAATAGAAACAGTTTCTGGTTCATAAGGTAACTTGTGACTGAAGAAATATTTTAGAAAACAAAACTCAAACTGTCAACTTTTAAAGTTCTTAAGATTGTCCTTAGGGATATTTTCAACCCCTGTAGTTTGAGTAACCGTCGTATCCTCCTCTGTATCCTGAGTATCCTCCGTAACCACCATATCCTCCTTTGTTGCCGTAACCATAATCTCTGTCATAACCGCCGTACCCTCCTCTGTATCCACCATATCCTCCGTAACCGTCAGAACCATATCCTCTGTTTCCGTAGCCACCATACCCATAACCACCAGAGCTTCCATAACCTCCGTAGCCACCGTATCCACCATAGCCGCCTCTGTTGGGATAGCCACCATATCCATCGTAACCGCCTCCATATCCTCCGTAATTTCCTCCATATCCTCCGTAATTTCCTCCATATCCTCCGTAATTTCCTCCATATCCTCCATAACCGCTTCCGTACCCTCCGTTGCCGCTTCCGTATCCACCATATCCGCCATAGCGATTTCCGTAGCCTCCGTAACCTGCAAAAGATTAAGTCAGTGTCTAAATTAATTTACCAGATTTTGGTGTTCGTTATTTGTTTTTTACTATTAAATTGTTTCTAACATAACAACTACCTGATAACGTGTAAAAAACAATGATAGATAGATAGATTTATTTGATCATTGTAGTGTTGCAAAATAGACTTAGTAAATAAGCAATTCAAAAATTACAAAGTAGTAAGTAGTCTGATTAAAGTGGCTATATTAATTATTTTATTTTTAAATTGCTAACAATGTGCTTTCAAATCATGCGAGTGATAACATGTGCCTAAAATATCTAAGTGCTCCACATTTAGAAATCAGTGTTTATACCTATATTCTCAAAGTTTTAGCTAGAAATGTTATTTTCAGGTGTGACTGTGAGTACAATGACTGCACAATTTAATCCTAATACTTTTGAAATGAACATAGTGGTCATAGTGCTAGTATGATGAGTGATTTGGTATAAGTGATTATATAGATAGAACATTCTGGTGCCAAAATGTGATTCAATTATGAAACTTTAACCTGAGTTGTAATAAGTTTGTCTACTAGCTGGCCCATCGTACTCTGAAAACCTTCCGAAACCTGCAAATTTTTTTAAGATTCACAATTTATAGGCTTACTCTAAAATAAAGTTCTTAATATCAGATTTTAATGGGGGTTTTCAACTGTGTTACCAGTTCATTAATTTAGTCACAAGACTAGTTCTTCACTGTGAACATAATTTCTAACTCAATAAAATTCCAAATCAGTTCAACAGGAACTCACTCTGCTTTAACACAATCTTTCTTTAACTTTTATTATTCATGATGATAACATTTCAATAGGTAAAATAAATAGCTAAATTCTATTTTGATGGCAAAATCTACAATAAACACATTTAACCGATGGTAATTTTAATTTTTATTAAACATCACAATTCAATTCATGAGAGCACAGAATACCTCAGTTGAATCGTACTCAGTGCCACTTATCACTTCCACTGAAACTCGGCTCAAAATGTTTCTGATTTTCTTTACATTCCTTGTATTATACACCTGCTGACCCAGTATCGTACATTTTCCACAAACGTTTCTGTGTGCTATGATTTTAATCAAAAGATCAGTAGATCATTGATATTGATAGTATTTGTAGAAAAATCTCAATCTAATGATTTGATGATGGTTTTTGTTTTGGGATAAATTGTTTAATTTATTATATATTTTTTAAATTTCATCAAACGATTATTCTAAAAATCTACAAACCTGAGCCGTAGCCAGGTCTACCGTAAGGGCCTTCATAGCCCCCGTAACCCCCATAGCCTCCATAGCCTCCATAACCACCATAACCACCATAACCTGGAACATAAATATTATTAAATAACAAAATAGGTTTTAAAACAACATTAACATCTACATGAAAAATCAACTCATAATCTACCATGGTGCTTTATGACGAGTTTGAAATTAATTTTAGGTGCATGTAAAAAAACCAAAATGCTTCATGGACAGTTTGAGTAGTTTCAATCAAAACTTTGTGCCTGTAAACAACAGCAACATAACAGTGTTTTATTTTTCTATTTGTTGCATTGAAAAGGAAATATGTTTAGAAATTATTGGTAATCTTTTTATTAAAACACATTGATTCTAAAAATTGTGCTCTAGTTGTTTTCCAAAATTTGTATCCATTTCTTTTACTTAGTACAATCTATTACTTGCACCTTGTTCCTTAGTACAAAGATAAAATATTATTTTTCATAGTCTGTGCCTTCTTTCAACAAAAATTAAGTAAACACCAGCACCAGATGTACTTCTTCTGTATTTGACATTCATTAAGGTACTTGCTCACTCACTACAGTACAATATTCAGTACATCGATCAATACAGTTGCTATTTGTTTGTGAAATATATAATATGGACATGCTCTACCAAACACCATTATAAACATATTTTGTTAAATTTACTTAAATTGCAATGTAATTGGAACACTTTTTTTGGAATTTGTTTAAAGGAAAATGTTCACACAAACGTCAATGGTTTAGTTGGTAGCTCAATAGAAAGCTAGATGTTTTGTTAGTTGTTGTAATGACCAAGCAATGAATTAAAACTTATGCACCTATGGAAAACATCACAAGTTCCCAGAAAAGCTGCGCTATATTATATTACCCTTCTAAAGTTCAG